GGTCGCGTTTTTTTTTATAATAGGCCCAAATATTAAAAACTTACCATTTTAAGCAGTTTTCCTCTAAAACGATCCCGGACCGTTGTTGTATTCCCAGGGTCCCAGGGAATAAGTGGCAACTTTGAACCTTGGGTTGATCTGTATTTCTCTGACATGTTCCGAATACTATGAAGTCTGAAGAGCAAACACCTCTTTTTCATTGATTCCCATATACCTCGGCTATTTACGATACCCTTAGTTTTCACGAGTTTGAAAAAAAAAAAAATCCGACCGACCGACCCAATTTTTTCCATTTTCTGACTTGAGGGCAACATACTGTGGAATACTTTATTTTTGCTAGAATAAATTTTCGCTGAAAAGGTTTTTTGGGCGTTTTGTATGGAATTTATTTTCACTGATTTTTGACGAGTTTAATGTGAAATATAGGAAAAAAAGTATAATCACTGGATTTTATTTTCACGGAATCATCCCTTCAGCGAAAATAAATTCCAAGTGAAAATAAAGTATTCTACAGTAAGTTTTTTTTTTTTTTTTGGCCTAATGCAAATTGTATGGATGCATCAATGCATACTTCATTGTTGTGTCTAATATGTGGTATTTGCATGATGACCTCTTACTATCATATATAAAACTTGATTTTAACTGATAACTTATAATTAGACAAAGCAGTTTGTTGAGATTGTACCTCAAAAATATAATGTTAACTCTAAGTTTTTAATTTGTCTACATTCATTGTTCTCTGTAGTTGTGGATGGCTACAATCAAATCAGAATTGGAGAAGATGTCAAACAATGGACATGTTTCACATTTGTAAGTTAAATTTGTTAATACTGTTGTTCATACTCTACATTCATACTCAGCAAATCAGAATATGATTTATCTTAAATTAAAAATTTTCCATTTGCCAGGCACACAGCATGCAGTGTTTGTTAGGTGACAAATCAGAACCACTACCGTAATACGCATGTACAGTGATTGTTATTTTACGTACCAAAACAACCAATGCATTTAATTTTTCTTTAATCTTATTACCACCAGTTCTCTCTTTTCATCGCTATTCACAAAATAGTCCCATTTATAGTCTGCACTTTTCTTCAAAAGATTGGGACAAAAATAGCCAAATTCTTTGAGTAAAAACTGAAAATTTATCCAAATTTTGCTGTTGGCTCCAAAATTAGGGTACATTTCCAGAAAGATTGAAGAAAATAAAAATGAATACAGAAAAACTTGGGTGAGAAAAGTCTGGTGGTGAAATGGTTACACAGATGTGTGCTACAAGAAAGTATTTTTCAGTTCATGATAAATCGTAGTCCAATGTATCTATTAAATATGCAGTTAACAAACAACAATACTAACGATTACATGTTCTCATCCATATTGCAAATTACTGTTGAACTGATAAACTCAGTCCTGTTAATCTTGATATCATATGACGTGCATCAACATCATGCAAA